CAACCTGTTCGCATCTTATTGAATGCTTTGTTTTCCTGTGTCTGGATCAACGGTGCTTCACTATCGACCCCAGTCCACTCACCTCATCTCTTTTTAGAAACACTAAAGTCCAATCGTATTCCATTTGAGAAAATCATCATGTTTATTGATTTCAGACGCCCCTGTGCATAGCGGAAATTCTCTTCCATAATCTCTACAAATCACATTCATTCTCGCTTTTTATCCGGATGCATCTCCAGCCTTTTCGCTCGCATGCATCACCACCACCTCGAGTAGATTTATATGAATCAACCTAAATCCATTTCGCATGGTTCCTTTACTTAACGCCAATAAAAAGATTCCTTTTCCGCATTGTCCCCGAGAAGATAGATATTTCAACACTGAATGCAATGCTACACGAGAAAGCACATCACAATAAAAGCAAAATACATAGGCTGGAGAAGGACAAATTTTGAGTTAAGCTGAATGACATTGTTGTGAGATATTACTCATAAATGTGAGTAGTATGGTTGGAGTGCGCTATATGATGCGATTGGCTGATTCTCACAATGGTCCAAAAAGAATAAGATTTCCTAAAGCTAATAAGTATGTTTAAAACTGTAACTAAAATCAGTGCATATCTGATAACGGACATGTTTGCTTGCTTGTGGAAATTATGATTGGCCTCTTTCACATGAGTTGTTCCGTTCTATGCAATCCAATTTATCGACATATCATTTTTCCTAACGAATAATTCTCTTTGATCCAGCACTTGACTCGTAGAGTTATAACACTGTCGTACTACTTACTACTCTCAGCTTTCAGTGAAACCTGTCGCGTATGGATAATGACACGGTAACTCCTAAGCGCAGTTGTTGGAACGGGATTGCACTTGCTTCACTTATGCTAAAGTGGATAAGACGGAGCCAAGTGGATGAGTGCTGTCGCACACAATGCTCTGACCGACACTGACACAGGAATTGAAGGGACTGTTATCCAATAAACGTCATCAAATATGGACCGCGGGAGAGATGGATAACAAACGAACGAAACACGATATCGCAGATAGCTAAAGTGGGAAGCATGGTGGTCAAACTTAGAACCGACTGCGATTCCATTCGGAAATCTTCATTCATGACATCGTCTGAAGTGACATCAGCTTTTCGATTGCAGTCACCTAAGCAATGTTACCAAGCGAATGGAACCCCGCGTGTAAATCAGCGTAAGAATGAACGATTTGCAATCGGTAAAACCGATCTTCAATAATACGGGTCTCACAATCGGTCTGATTGACACTTTTGAACTAGTCTGCAAGCCTTTGATAGAGAGAGAGAGAGAGAGAGAGTAATACGTATGGACTTGTTACTCAATCAGTAGGACGTTTCCGGAATTAATCCACGGTGAGGGAATAGAAAAGCTATCTATAAATATGTGGAGCTTGCTAACCACTTAGACTGTGCAAAATAGTTAGCTAGTCCTCTTCCCCTGATCGCTAGCATAGACACAAACAAATGTGTCATCATCATCATCATTAAGCCCTAAGCGTCCTGCTTCAAGGCAAAACAATTTGCGTACGGAATTCCGACAGAAGTCCTCCCATAGTGACTCAAAACACTGGGTTACTCTGAAAAAAACAATAATCTCTCGCGAATTCACAATTGGAACCGGTGAACTGGTTGGTATTCATTAAGGACTCAATAGACCAGTATATTTTCTCGCATGTTGTGGAAATCAGTCAATTAATCAATCAAAGTTGACGAAAGAAGCTCATCAGAGCAGAGGATATTGAATACGTTTTCACACAGGCACCAAAGTACCCTGATCTATTCTGAGGGATACATACAATGCGATGCACAATTAGACGAGGAGGTGTAGAGAGCCAGGATAGAGTTTGTTGATATAAAGCTATATATATATATATATATAATCGTATGTTTTTTGGATGAATCAAGGTTCTTAATAGTAGCGTTTTAAATCACTATTACGCACTCCAATAGCGCTTGCACCGTTCGTGTGTACGTCTATTTTTCACTACACCTGTTCAGGTGAATGCACGAATGTATCGATTTCTGTAATATCTGCTTGTGTGTGCGTGTGTGCGAGCGAGCGTGTATCATAATGTCTCGATCAATTGAGTAAAAAAGATTGAGCTGTCCTGTGTCGTGTGTTGTTGCACAGGCGATCGATCAAACACACACGGGACTGGAGATACGGTGGATCGCCCGCCGGAGGAGGATGATGAGGCCGCTGATGAGGATGAAGATGTGATCGGAGCTGCTGTCGGCAACGGATGATCCGTCGTGATCACATTGGTCCATCGGACCGGATCTGGGCTGGCGTCGACGGCCACTTTAAATCCGGTCACTGATAATGCAGCCGGGATGACGGCTGGACGAGCCTCGTTCATATCACGATCACTGCCTAGCACACTGGAACTCACACTGACCACATCACGATCTGGCAGAGTGGGACTTAGCACATTGTTTGCTTTTTGTGGGGGTGTTGTCGGTTTCGAATTTGTGCTGGGTTGTAAAGATGGTTCAAAGGCAGTGGGTTGATTTGATGATTGTTCAGCACAGCTCGGTTTCTTGTCTGAATCCGTGGGAGTCACGGAAACCTGCTTCTGCGCCACCTGTTGTGCCGGTATTGGTACAGGTGTCCCGGATGATGTTGGTGTAGTTTTGACTGGGACTGTGGTCTCCGTGGTAACTGATAAAACGGGAGCATCGGAAACGTCTGGCAAGGTCACGGTGACTTGTGGAATGTTAATCAAACCTTCCGCAACCGAATGTCGACCAGCCGACTTTTTCGATTTGCGAAATCCGAAAGGCAATTTACGCGTAGGCCATCCGTCTAGAATGGTCTTATCAATCGATTTGCTTCTTAGCTTTTCTGTGATTGATTTTTTTCGTTCGGACAGGAGAAACGAAACCGTGCGTTTCCGTTCGGGACCAAGGAATGGTTCGTTCGGGGATAGCGAATTAATTACACCTGCTGTTGTCGTTGTTGTTGTTGTTAGTGTGTGCTTCTGTTGGGAACCGGACAAAGCTTGTTGGGGTTTGCAAATACTCACTCGATCGTCTGCACTACTAGTTGAACTAAACTGATAACTATCCGAACCCGACAGGCTTTGAGCCATATCGATACTGAGCAAGTCTCCTGTAGCTGGACTTAACGGATCAGTCGGGGACGCTTGCTCACCATCGGTGTCGGTTAGCGGAACCATACTGGGAGGATGAGTTCTGGGGGGGACCGGATGTCGATGTGTATGATGACGATGATGATGGTGATGATGATGATGTGGGTGATGAAAATGATGATGGTGATGATGATGATGAGGTTGCGATAAAGAAACAGTCGGAGATGCTGTGGAGTTCGATGTTGTCGGTGACTTCGACGCAAACGAATGGGGAGAATGCATCGAACAATGTAAACATCGATGATGCGGACATTTCAACGAGTGAGTTTGATTAGGGGCAACCACCATCAGCGAGGGAGACGAGTCCGGATGTTTCGCGAGCATCGGGTGTGCATGATCGGTACAGTAGGCTTTCTTTTGGTCACGTCTTGCTTTCTTCAAACGGGCTTGAGCACGTTTGAGGAACACGAAGATGGAGAATGAGATGAGAATAGCAATCAGGATCCCGACCAAGCTGGATATCAACGCAGGCCAGTGAAACCATGATGTGACCGCAACACGACACTCGCGTTCGGTCACTGTGCGAATCGGCTCGGGGAAACTGGTCTCACCAATACGGGAGCGTAGACTGGATCCGGTTGAGCCGGATTGCAGTCGATCGGGTCGAGTCAAAGAGGAGTTCAACGGATGATGTGCCGCGGCCGAAGTGATCGGGATTGGTGTCGCGTACCAGTCACGTGTGATATGAATACAGACCGTATAACGCGTGTCTGGTTGCAATTTGTCCAAAATATGCGATTCACTGGTTGGATCATTTAGAGTGTATTCATCGTCCACCGTCAGTCCGACATCACTAAAATGAGTTATCTGGAAGAGCAAGGGGAAAAAATTAAACGATAGTCCCAACAGGATTAAGTGGCACCCGAATAGAATACGGTGCAAACTGCCCGTACTCCTTCCTACCCGGCACCCCTCAGATCAGGTTGATTACAGTAGTGATTTCATGAGATTAAAGCATACTAGAGAAAATACAATAATACGATACAACGCAACAAATATATGCACAAAACTTTTTTAATTAAAATTTTCGAACTATTTTAAGGTTGACGAAATAAATAAATAAGTCTGTTCAAAGCGACCATGGCAATAAGATCAGTATATGATACTATCAAAAAAGCCCGATTGAAAGGCTAGCAAGTTGTGTTGCTCCGCTCGGCATGCGCTTCTCACCTTCAAAGTGCAAAGTGATACTGCAAGACTGGGTGTCAACGAGTCCCGTTCTGAAACTATACGGTCAGGAATTAGCTGCAGTTGACCGCTTATCGTATTTAGGTAGCTGCGTTACCAACTAGGGTAGCGCATCAAAGGAGATAACCACTCGCATTTTCAAGGCTCGAGTAACGTACACAGGAATGAAGTAGATTAGGCGATGATCTGACGTTTCACAGCAGTTAAAAAGTGATGTATACTGCGCTACTGTACGATCAGGTCTGCTTTACGATTGTGAGACCTTGAACTGGCGGGGNTCGCCTGGTGGTTTTCGATCGTCAATGCTTAAGTAGCCTGGTCCAATTAGGATGTGAGTTGTCGGGTGTTTGGGAATTCATTGAACACGAACTCGCTTTCGCATCGAATTCAGCACAACAGGCTCCGTTGGTTAGGACACGTGTTGCTTATGTCCGACAGTCGCCTACCGCGCCGCGCCTTATTTGCCGTGGCCCCATGCAGACTGGAGAAAGTCATGTGGCGGCAAGCAGATGACGTGAAGACGAGGCATGAAGAAATACACACCGCGATTAGGTAGAGTAGGTGTCTATCGTCTTCCGGGTTGGGATCCAAAAGACTTCGTAACTGGCTGACTGAAGATACTGACAGTCGCGATCTTGCTGTCATTTCTTATTCGACCAGACTGAGCTATCTCTGTGTGTTGACCATAGAGGTTCGCTTTCTTTTCCCACTCCTTAAAATAGGCTTAATCCATCTTCTCTACACATTCTCACTTATCTTGTATGCATTGCGAGTTTGACAGCGATCAAGGAAGTTTATTTCACTCTATTACGCTGTGCAATGATAATGGTAGTACACGTCGTTTACTCTATCAAGGCGAAC